TGCTCCCAGGAGCTGCTCTATCTTCTGATGTTCCCCTCCTCCTGCTGCCTGGCAGAATGTCATCAACACGTTCACACAGACAGCCCGCTCAGATCGCTGTGCTTTCCGGGGCAATGTGGTGGTGGGCAAGGACGTGTCTGTGCCAGAGCTTCAGGAAGCCTACCATGCCGTGGTGCTGGTGAGTGCCCATGTGGCAGGGTGTGGATGTGAGAGGAGGGGCTGATGAGAGACAGGAGGCTGGTGCTGAGGCCTTGGCCCTGGGTGGGCACTGCATCTTTCCTCAGAGTTATGGAGCAGAGGACCACCAAACCCTGGAAATTCCTGGCGAGGAGCTGCCTGGGGTGGTCTCAGCCCGGGCCTTTGTGGGCTGGTACAATGGGCTTCCTGAGAACCGGGAGGTGAGTTGGGGGAGCATCCTTGCTGCTTCTGGCTGGAGTCAGGAGCATCCCTGAGGTGTTAGAGTCTGAGGTGAAGGCAGTGAGGAGCAAGCTGAGGAGATGTGAGACATCCATGACTGAGGCAGGTCAGCTGAGGAGACCTGTGGGGGTGGGGGAGAGGGAAGTGGGGTAGAGTGGACTGTCTAAGGGTAGGGCAGCCTGAGGGCACAGCCGGGCCTGACCTAAGGTGTCTGAAGATGAGATTAGCCTGACTGGAGCTGGGGGTGGGGATGCCCTATCAAGACCTTTCTCCTCCAGCTGGCGCCGGATCTGAGCTGTGACACAGCTGTGATTCTGGGACAGGGGAATGTGGCTCTGGATGTGGCCCGGATCCTGCTGACCCCACCTGAGCACCTGGAGGTGAGGGGCAGTCAGAGGCTGGAGGTGGGAGCACACTGAGCAACGGATGCTCCTGCCTGTGGGGTTCAGGTCTCATCCCTCCAAACAGCCCAGTGCCTGTTTCCTCCAGGAGCCCAGGCAGACTCCTGTGCCACTGGACATTTACATACACATTCTCCCTGTTTGGAACATCGGGACTGACCTGCTAGTTAAGAATTGACATTCCTCCTTCTTTTCATCCTTGGCTCAACTATTCCTTCTGCCAAGAGGTCTTCCAGGCTGTCTTAGTAGGTGCTTTTTCTGTAATATGGTCTCAGCTCCTAGTGGCCTTTACATCCCCAACCTTGCTTCACTACTGCAAGTTTACAGTCTGGGATGAGATTTGATTATCTGTTTCTCCACAAAACAAGAACTCTGTGGGGTTCTGAACTAGCCTGTTTGGCTCACATAAACTGCTCTTGCCCCCTTAAGCCCCTTGTCCTGTTCTGGACATGTGATGGATTGTGAGTGAATGTCAGAATCAGCTGGAATCCTGTTACTTAGGAGCCTTTTGGAGAGTTGGCGTCAATGCTCTATGTGGCCACCAGGGGGGAGTAGCGGTATAGTTTTTGGGCTGTTGGCTTTCTCTGTGTTGGAGTAGACACAAGACCAACTGACCTGGCAAGTCCCCTTCCCCAAGTCAAGACCTCCCAACCCCTTTATTTTGAGTCAAGGTCTCCTTATTATAGCCTTGGCTGGCCTGGAACTCACTGTGTGGATCAGGCTGGCCTGGAGCTCGCAGCGATCCTCCTGCCTCTGTCTCATGTTGCACCGTGCTTGGCCCTAAGAGCCTCCTTTTGTACCAGAAAACAGACATCACCGAGGCGGCTTTGGGAGTCTTGAGGCAGAGTCGGGTGAAGACTGTGTGGATAGTGGGCCGGCGTGGACCCCTGCAAGTGGCCTTCACCATTAAGGTACTGGGTCCAGAGTGGGAGGAACCGGAGTCCCAATAAGAGGCTTCCACTTTTGTGTATGTTGGGGTTGCCCCAGAGCCCTGGGAGTAGCTGCTTCCCTGGACGGAACGGGGGTGGGGGGTGGGCAGGGCCCCAGGGCTGTTGGTCTTTCCCCACACTGCTGATAGTCTCTCCTACCAGGGCTGCTGAACTCTGGTGGGTTCAGGACCTGACCTCCTCCCTTACCTCCCCCACCCCCACCCCCAAGGAGCTTCGAGAGATGATTCAGTTACCAGGAACCCGGCCCATTTTGGATCCTTCAGATTTCTTGGGCCTCCAGGACAGAATTAAGGGTGAGGGGCCAAGTCCAGCCCTCCCCCCATCCCACCCCACCCCCACCCCAGCTCATTGGCTTGGGGGAAGGTGACCAGCAGGGACAGCCCTGAAATGTTCCATGTTGCTCACAGATGTCCCCCGTCCAAGGAAGCGGCTGACAGAGCTGCTGCTTCGGACAGCCACAGAGAAGCCAGGGGTGGAAGAGGCTGCCCGCCAAGCACTGGCTTCCCGGGCCTGGGGCCTCCGCTTTTTCCGAAGTCCCCAGCAGGTGCTACCCACGCCAGATGGCCAACAGGTAGCAGGCATCCGCCTGGCAGTTACCAGACTGGAGGTGAGTCTCCCGTGACCCAAACTTCCCCTTCTTGAGGCTTCCCCCATCCCAACCTGGTGTTACCCACGTTCTCCCCAATAGGATGTTGGTGAGTGCACCCGTGCAGTGCCCACGGGAGATGTGGAGGACCTCCCTTGTGGGCTGGTGCTGAGCAGCGTTGGGTATAAGAGTCGCCCCATTGACCCCAGTGTGCCCTTTGACCCCAAGCTTGGAGTCATTCCCAACATAGAAGGCCGGGTTGTGAATGTACCAGGTGAGAGGATATGAGAAGGTGGGCATCTAATTATGATGGGGCTGAAAGGCTGGTGTCCCAAGACCACTCATTCTACAGTGATGTAATGTGAGTCAGCTCCAGACAGGCCAGTCCTAGAGCATAGCCCGCCCTCCTCCTGCCCCCTGGGGCACGTTCTCAGGCAAGCTGGGACGTCACTCAGTAAAGCTTCCTGAGGCCTGCCCTGGACCAGCGCTGACACTGGTCGGAGGCAGCCCCTGTCCTGGGGGGCTTCATCTTCTTACCCAGGTGCCCATCTTGTGCATTCATTCAGTAAGTGTTCCGAAGGGCCTGCCGAACTGTGGTAAGCAAGTCTCATCCGCAAGGAGACTGAGGAAAGGAGGATGGCATGGGAGAACAAGCCAAGAAGCCCTCCCGGGCCAGGCATAATGGTGCACACTTTTAATCCCAGAGCTCAAGAGGCAGAGGCAGGCAGAGCTTTGTGAGTTCAAGGCCAGCCTGGTCTACACAGAGAAACCCTGTCTCAAAAAAACCAAACCAAACCAAACCAAAAAACAAAACAAAACAACTCCCCCCTCCAACACTATCATGGTGAACCAGTAGCTATAGTGGACCCAGCCTGTAGGATCTACTGGGAGACATGGGGATGTTTACGTGTGTGTGTGTGTGTGTGTGTGTGTGTGTGTGTGTGTGTGTGTGTGTGTGTATTGCGATGCAGAATTGTCAGAAGTCTCTGTTGCCCTTCTCAGGCCTCTACTGCAGTGGCTGGGTGAAGCGAGGACCCACAGGTGTTATCACCACCACCATGACGGACAGCTTCCTCACCAGCCAGGTGCTGCTGCAGGACCTGGAGGCAGGGCTGCTGCCCGCTGGCCCCAGACCTGGCTATACAGCCATTCAAGCCCTGCTCAGCAATCGAGGTCTGGGAGTGGGGAGGGCGAGGGCGGCCTATCTTTGGAACTTTACCCTTTGGGAAGAGGGTCCCTTAGAGGAGATGATGGCATTAATGTGTCTTCCTATCTGCCTTAGGGGTCCGGCCAGTCTCTTTCTCTGACTGGGAGAAGCTGGATGCCGAGGAGGTATCTCGAGGCCAGGGCGCTGGGAAACCGAGGGAGAAACTGGTGGATCCCCGGGAGATGCTACAGCTGCTGGGGCACTGAACCTGGACCCTAGCCCCGACCGTGAAGAAGAGAGTCTGTGCAAGGACGCGGGGCCTGAGGCCGTCTGAGCTGGAGTCTTCTCCCAGATTCTTCGCCCAGATACAGTGCTGACTACCCCGGCTTCAGGCTGAGCTCCAGCCTTTCCAGGGGCCTCTGATCTCTGTCTTCTGCAAGTTGACCTTGCCATTGTGGCTCTAGGCCAAGGAGGGAACCTTCGGTTAGGGATGGGTGGAGGGACAGGCTGACTCTGCCCACTCCTACTTCCTTCCTAATGAACTTTGGAGGGCCCCTAGAATGGGAACACAGTGGAAATAAAACAGCTGTACCTAAGAGCCGTGGTTGATGGGCTACTTTATTTTGGGGGGTGGGGTGGGGTGGGGTCACTTTCTGGCCTGTTTGTCTGTGGCTGCCAGATGGAACTAAGGAGACAGAACCTTGCTCCAGAGCCTCTTGGGGACCAGGGGGCTTGGTGGTCAGGCCTGGCATGCACTTACCCTGCCTTTCCTGTCTATTCTTTGCTTCTGTGGCCTCTGGGTCTTCAGTTCACACTTCAGTCACTGGTGACAAATCCCTTACTTGTCTGCCCTGCTGGCCTCGCTGCCTGGTACTTCCAGGACAGAAACAGAGACAAACGAAGAGAAAAGGAGGGAGTGAGAACACAGGGCAGCAGCTTGTCCCCAATATGCCCCGGTCTCGCCCGGTTGCTGGCAGGCTTGGCCGGGCCCTCCAATCTCCACATGGTCTGTGCCTTTCCATTTCCAAGCTTCCAGATAAATCCACAAGCCTTTTCAAAGACTACTCCAGCCTACGGCAGTTTATATCTCTTATGGCAGCAAGATCTGGCCTTACTTTATAAACTGAAGGAGCCTCAAAATTAACTGGCCCAAGGTCACACAGCTAGAGAACTAAGGGCTCGAACCCAGGGCTCCTGGCAAGGTGGTGTTTTTCTCCGAAGCTGCCCTTGCCTCTGAGTATCGGGTCTGGGGACAGGGTCCCTGAGCAGGAGAGAGGAGAGGGGGGCAGCTAGGAGCACAGGCGGGCAGGGAGGGGCCTAGAAGGGCCAGGGGGGCACCGGTGGCCGGCTGGGGCGGGCCAGGGCGGGGCGGAGGCGACCGGCGGCGAGCTCCATCACAGTCGGCTGGTGAGCCCCAAGAGCCGGAGGCGCGCCTTTGCGCAGCCCGGGACACAGCCCCGCCACGGGGCGCGCGGGCCGGGCGCGGGGGCGGGAGGCATTCAGGCCGCGCCATCCTCACTGGTCCCGCCGCTCCCGGCTCCGGTGCCCGCCGAACGCACAGCCAGCGTGCCAGCTCGGCGGCACGAGCATCGCACGGGAGGCGGCCCGGGCTCTGGGCGTAGGTGCAGAGCCCCTTCCCGGGTGAGTGGCGGCTGGGGGCTGGCGGCGAGCGGGGGGGAGGGGGCGCCAACTTCGCAGGCAACTTAAGCGGCTCTGGCGCCGCGCGGGCAAGGACGGTGGAGACAGACGCGGGACACCCGAGACTGTACGGCCAGTTCGGGGAGTCAGAGGCCAGGGGGACCAGGACCCTCGAGAGCCCGACCGGCGTTGTGGACTCGGTGGCAAAGGAGGCGAGGAGAGACAGTCTTGGGAGACAGACCAGCCGCGGGCGCGAGGGAAGGACGCGGGTGGAGAGCCCAAGGCGTTTGTCCCTAGGGTCGCGGAGTCTCCTTCTCTTCGTCTGTCGCGGTGGCCCGGCCAGGCTGGGCACAGTCCTCGGACGCGGGAATCTGGATTGCTGGGTCCAACTGTTGCGGGTGGAAGCCGCTGGGGGCAAGGAACCGGTCAGGGGCCAGGACCTGGGGCCGAGGTTGGGTTCGACCAGAGCGCGGGGAGCTGGAAAGGACACAGAGCTCGGAGAGCAGAAAGGGGGTTGTAGCAGTTGCTGAGCTGGTCCCTGCTGGCACCTGCTGCGCGCATCTGCTATCCACCGACCCCCTCATTGGGGTGAGTTCTCCAAGCCCTCCGCTTCCCACTCCTCTCCTTACCCTCCCCCGGGAGCTCCTAATATTCCATCCTCTGACCTCCGAGATCAATGGATTTCTGGAGTGACAGGATTTGCCCGAACGCTGACCCCCGCGCCCTGGTTCCCCCGGGCTCTGCGGACTCCAAAAGGAAGGTGGGCAGAAAGGCCACCGGAGAGCCTGTGCCCTGGTGCACTGGGCCCTGGAAGCACCAGTTGGAGGCTGTAGTCTCCTGGGGCTTCAACAAGGATCCCCGACGGCTGGGAGGAGAAGCCTTGATCTCCGGCTGCGGAAGGCAGCGATTTGTGCTTGGCCTAGGCAGGCAGGGGGAGGCCTGCCAAGGGTCAAGGCACCTAGCAGGCTGCAAATCCCCCAAGGGCGTGTTTGGCGACCCTTCAAAAGTCCTGTTGGGCGAGAGGCAGAAATGCCCGCTGGGGACGCTGACCCCATTTGCTCACTCTGTTTCCCAGCCCTCCCTTCCCAATGGGACATCTGGTATAGCACCCCCAGTCCTGGCCCCATCAGCAACTCACCCTCCCCCTAGCTACGAGAAAATTTGCGGGGTGGGGGGTGGGGGAACGGGACCGTATTTGGAGAAGATGCATCCTACTGGCTTTTTGGAGCAGGTCCAGTTCCTGCCTCTGAGCTAGTTTCGAAACTTGTTAAGAATAAGAACCTGAAAGGGACAGGTTGGTAGGAAACTGGACGCCTGGGGATTCACTCCGGAGGGTCACCAAGACTGGGTCCTGACCCACAGGCCCGCCTGCCAGGCTAACCTGGCCATCCCCTGCCCAAGAGCTTGAGATCCCGACCTAGCTTGAGGCAGTGGGTTGGGGGCATAGGACTTGGGGTAGAGAGCTGGTGCTGGCTGGGCTTGAGGGAGAGAGAGTTCAGGGGGCAGTGGCCAGGCTGGGGGCGAGGAGTGCATGGTGCTCAATTTGGCCGCCAGGAGGCGTGGCGCGGGTCTCCGCGCCCGGAGTCACCGCCACTGCCGCCGCATCGCGAGTGTCCTTGAGCGGCGAGTGATGGTGGCCCTTCGGAGCTCGCGCCCCCTCCTCCTGCAGGGGCAGCCAGATGCCACGTTCCCTATGAATTATTTATCGCCGGCCTAAAAATACCCCGAACTTCACAGCCCCAGAGTAAGATTCCTGCGAGGGGAGGGGGCGGGGCGCCCCCGGGGGCTGAGACGAATCAGCTGGGAGGGGGCAGTTAGTATTGGACGAGGCAGCAGTCAGTGTCCCCACAAGTGTGGACAACATAGATGGGCTGTCTCTTTCTTTCCAGGTGCCTGGGGTGTTATGGGGCAAAAGTGAAGGGAGGGGACTACGGTAGAAGAGGGTCATATCAGTGAGGGTCTCCCACTGTCAGGAATCAGCAGCTTAGGTGGGTGATATTAGCTTTGGGGACCAGAGCTTCTAGGCCTTAGGAGTGAGGGAGCCGTTAGTGTCCCGGGTGTGAGTGAGTGTGTGTATGTGCTATACGTAAGCATGGCGTTGTCAAGGAGCCTGTGTGACTGAGGGGTTGGTGGAAGCAGGAGAGAAGGTCCCTAACATGTAGGGGGTAATGGAACCTGCCAAGAGGTGCCGAGTGTCCTAAAGGACTGGCCACTGCTAACCTCTCCCCTGTACTTAGGGACCAGGGGTTCAGCGAACACTGCTTTAAGACCCTTGGAGAGAGGAGTGTCATCAGGGATGTACAAAGGTCCAGTAATGGTGGGGTACCTGAGGAGAATCAGCTCGGGGCTTGACACCCTGCAGGGAAAGAGCGGAGGAACCCAAACCCTGTCTTTTCCTGGGGGTCCAGAGCCGATGAATCAAGATTAAGGGCAGAAACCTATAGAAGAGGGACTTAAGTTGGGCTCTGAAAGACAATAGAATTTTGTTAGGGAGAGGTTTCTCTGACCTGAGGAACAGCAGGAAGCAAGGCCTGGAGATGAAGACAGCACACCACAGTCTAGCAGGGGTGAGTACCCAAGTAGGAGAAGACAGTGGGTTTGAGTTAGCTTGTTGGACGTTGGGATTTCATTTGCGGGCACCAGAGAGAAGCTGTCCTGCTCGACCTCTGTCACAGGGACCAGGGGAAAGTTCTAGCAGTTAGGAGGAGGGCAGGAAGCAGATGCGGAGAGAGGCTGGGGACCAGGGACATGGAGTGGGGTGTTTCTTGTGAGCGATGCCCTGTCCCATTGCTTTGTCAGCTCAGAGACCTGCTGGATGCTGGTCTTTCAGCTCTTACGACCTGTCTTGATTTCCCTTCCTCTCTACCCTTAATCCAGGAGGATATTTTCACATTGGAGGAAAGCTGGCAAGGAACACCCCCTTCGGAGTTGGGGGGAGAACCTGGGCCCTTCCCCCAGACTCACACTGCCCTGGAAGAGATAAAATAGGAGCCACATGTGTGATTTTAAAATTCCTAGTACCAGCTGGACAGTGGTGGCACAGGCCTTTAATCCCGGCACTCTGGAGGCAGAGGCAGAGGCGGGCAGATCTCTGTGAGCTGTAGGCCAGCCTGGTCTACAGAGCAAGTTCCAGGACAGCCAAGGCTACACAGAGAAACCCTGTGTTGAAGAAAAAGTATATATAGTGCCAACATTAATAAAGGAGGAAAGAGCCAGTTATGATGGGCCATGTCTTTAATCTCAGCACTGGGGTGAAGAGGCAGGCAGAGCCCTGGTGAGTTCTAGTATCTAACAGTGAGTTCTAGGCCTGCAGCGGCTACATATTGAGACCCTGCCTAAAAATAAATAAAGAGTTAAATAAAATGGAAAGTAAAATAACTGCTTCCCAGGGTGGTGGTGGTGGTGGCGGCGGTGGCGGCAGCAGCAGCGGAGATCCTTGAGCCTACGGGGTCCCTCCCCCAGCTGGACCCTTGGCTGGACTCCTGTATAATTTATTTGACTTTTTTTTTTCCGGTTTTCCTCACCCTTTCAAACTGTCAGGGAGCCCCTGTCCTTCACCTAGCTCACTTGGCCTGGAGTGAGGGAGCCAGGGCCTTGGTGAAGCTGCCCGCCACTTCCCTCACAGCTGTGGTGGGGAAAGGGAGTTGGGCTGCTTGTGGTTTAGGTCCCCTCCCCCTTTCCCTAAGCCATGGATTCTGGCAAACGGTCTTGTGTCCTTTACCCTATTTATCCTCAGTCTGGTCCCCTGTTGTCCATTTCACCCCCAAGCACCACTTGTACAGACTGGGGACCAGCCCCTTCCCTGTCTGTGTCTCTTCCCAAGTCCCTTTAGTTGTGGTGAGAAGGGGGGGTGAGGGGGGGGGCGGAGATGATCCCTCCTCAGGCATCTGGGAGGGCCTTGCCCCCAAGGGCTTTACCCTTTCCTTCAGGCATTCTCCTTGACACATTTGTTAAAAATCAAACCTGAATAAAACTATGAGTTTAATATGAAAAAAAAGAGAAAAACAGATAACATTTTAATAGCATGGTTTATTTATTTAGTCAGTTATTGGATTTTCGAGAGAGAGTTTCTGTAGCCCTGGCTGTCCTGGAATTCACTCCATATACCAGGTTGACCCCTCAGAGATCCTCCTGCCTCTGCCTCCCAAGTGCTAGAATTAAAAATGTGTACCACTATGCCTGGCTTAATAGTATACTTTAATTCAGTATATCCAAAGCATTATTTTAACATGTAGTGAATATAAAAATATCAATGAGGAGAGCTGGGAAGCTGGTTCAGTGGATAAAGAATTTTCCATATAAACACGAGGACCAGAGTTTGCATTCCCAGAGCTCATGTAAATGCTGGGTGGGCACTGTAGCTTGCCTCTAATTCTAGTGCTCTGGGTTTGAAGGAAAGACTCTGCCTCAATGCATAAGGTGAGGAGTAAGCCAGGCAGACTTCTGATGCCTCCGGCCTCCACATGCACATGTACACACACACATTTGAACACACACACATTTGAACACACACACACACACACACACACACACCACGTGAAAACAAACATAAAAAGAATATTATCGAGGTAGTTCACATACTGTTTTACATACTCTTCACACCATGTCCAATATCCAGTGTATCTTTGTGCCGACAGCACACCTCACTTCCGTGGGAAGTATTTCAAGTTACGTGTGCTTGGGACTACTGTACTGGTCGGCACGGGTAAAGAGAGCCCATTCCTAGGAGACAGAAACGGGGAAGCTTGTGGCTCCCACTGGGAGGAATCTAGAACTGGATGAGCACACAGGTCTTCAAAGGAGCAGTGGGCATGACTGTGCCCTTTGCTGTCATGCTTGGAAACGATACAGTCCACATCACATGGTGTGGTGATTTAGGATCCCATCCCACACTCAATCATGATTCCAAGCCGCCATTCCTAGATAGGGGGCGATCTCGCAGGTTCTGGTGAGTCTACAGCATTCCTTCCTCTGCCGCCAATCCTCTCTACTTAGCCCGAACTTCTACCACCTCACACCTTAGCTTAAAGCCCTGACCTGTTAAATTTCATTTTGTTTGTCAATGGTAACATGCTATTGTTATCAGCTCCTTATACCTATGTGAGGAAGTACTGGAGCCTTAGCTGGGAGAAGGTATGCTGGGAGGGGAGTAGGGATGCCAGGGTCTGAGGGAAAAAGAAGTAAGTTTAGAAAAAAAAAAAAGAGCTTATAGCATCCTGCTGGTTCAGCATCTTCATCACTGAGCTCCTGGAGAGCAGGGACCATGTCTCCCCATGTTAGCATCTCATCATCCAGCAACTCATTCACAGAAGGTGATCTGTGTACCGAGTCACACTTCATAGCTGAAAACTTCCTTTCTGTGGTCTCCTTCAGAGCTACCTTTTCAGCAAAGAGAAGAAATTTCCTGCACACTCCCTGGTGACCCTTGCATTTTGCTGCCCCGTTTCCTTAGAGAGAACTGGAGACTCTGGAGGGAAGCCTCTGAAGGGGTGTCATGTAAGAAATCAGTCTTGGAACAAAAGGAAGAGAGGGATGTAGTGGCCTGCAGAGCAGAGGAAAGGTCTGGAAGGAGCCAGGGCTGTCCTGGGAGTTCTCAAGCCCTAGCCCTAGGGTGTCTGGGTGAGATGTTTGGGTTCATTCTGCATTTCTGTGGCAAAGGTGTACAAATCTCCTGCATGGGGGCTGGAGTGGCAGGCCCACTCTGATCCTTCTTTGACTCCCCCTGGTTAGTTTTATTAGACGTGGGAGGAGGCTGGAGAGGGTGGCCATGTGCTGCATCTGTGGGCACCAGGAGACATGTTTCTCTCACCCACCGGGCTTTGGTCTTGATCCAGAATGAATCTGTAGCAGACACACTTGGGCGTTTAGGTTAGATGTAAAAAAGGCCCTACACACCAGCAGTGGGATGTGAATAGCGGATGTAAGTTGGACATCTCAGGGCTTTGGGTGTCCTGAACCCAAGCGAGTTGGCCTTGACCACTCTGCTTTAGAGGGCTGCCCTAAATGAGCTTGCTGAAGGGAAGGTGGCGAAGACATCCAAGCTCTGGAGGAGAGGATCTGCCAGGCAGAGCCACACAGCAGAGGTCCAGGGCTGGCTCCAGGGCAAGCAGAACACTGAGCAGTAGTATTTGTTCTGATGAGGGATAGATGCAAGATTCAGTTCGGCTGTTGAGAGGACTGGGCTGTGGGGGTGCCACAGAGCTACCTGTCTTTATCTGGCAGAGAGACTGTCGCCTACAGGATAAAATTTGCTAATGGCAGTGAATAGCTGGATTTCTTATTTTGAAAGTTCAGACAGGCTAAGTGACTTCTCAAAGATCACACAGCTGAGGCTGGAAAGATGGCTCAGTGGTTGTAGAAGACCTTAGTTGAATTCCTAGTACACACGCCTGGCAGCTCACAACTACCTGAAACTAGAGCTCCAGGGGATCTGACTCTACAGGTACCCACACACACACATGTACAGATCCCTACAAAAACACACACGTCTTCACATAATTTCCTAATTTTTGTCCTTTTTTTTTTTTTTTTTCAGAGCTGAGGACCAAACCCAGGGCCTAGGACTTGCTAGGCAAGCACTCTACCACTGAGCTAAATCCCTAACC